TGGGGAGTAAGAGGGGGCTAAAAAATAAAGGCCTGGCTAGACTCAAGGGAAGCTCCTGGGTCCTGATTTTGTCTTGAACTTCCCTGGGAAACGCTAGATCCTGGAAGCACACCTACTCTGCTGTGCTATACACCACATTGACTCCAGGTTCTTAACATAAGGCTTTACATGTAGCATTACCCCAAGCTATATAACACATATAACATTTGCCCAGTTGATCCCCGAGGCTGTGCCCCTTGTTGGGGGAAGGCATCGCTGCCACAGGACACACCACCATGCGACTGAGCTCCCTTCTGGCTTTGCTGCGACCAGCACTACCCCTCCTCCTAGGACTGTCCTTGGGGTGCAGTTTGAGCCTCTTACGGGTCTCCTGGATCCAGGGTGAGGGTGATGACCCCTGTGTGGAGGCTTTGGGGGAACTTGGGGGGTCACGGAAGCTAGATTCAAGGACCCAGCTTGGCCAGAGTGATGAAGACTTCAAGCCCCGGATTGTTCCATACTACAGGGATCCCAATAAGCCATACAAGAAAGTGCTCAGGTGAGAGTTGTGCTCTGTATAATCCTTGAAATACAGGAACCCTACCTTGGCTTTATAAGAGGTCAAATTTGTAAGCTCCTTGAAGGCAAGAGGGACATCTAATTCACGTTCAGTAATCCTATAAAAACACTTACAGTGCCAGATATTCGGGAATACTCTTTTTTGGTCCACACCTATAATTTCATCAGTGTAAGGAATTCCCAATATGAAAACTTCCTCAGGTGAAGCAGATCAGCAACCTGTTAAATTACAGTCTTTGAGAGTTGCCTGGGATATTGAAAAGTTAACTGATTGACCCATGGTCACTTTGCTTGATTGGTACAAGATTTAAACCTGTCTCCCTGACTCCAAGGCCAGTTCTGCCTGTTATGCCAGGGTGCCTCTCTAATCAGTGAATGAATTGAGTGTCAGTAGAGATAGTCTCTTCCTTCTTTCCTAGCCTAATCTTAAGGTAGCATAATCTGAAGGACAAACTGTATCTCAGAAGGGCTCTGGAGAGTTGAGAAGTTGGTCCTTTGACTTCGGTGGTCTCTCTACAGGACACGGTATATCCAGACGGAACTGGGCTCTCGTGAACGGCTGCTCGTGGCTGTACTGACCTCCCGGGCCACACTGTCCACACTAGCAGTGGCTGTGAACCGCACTGTGGCCCACTACTTTCCTCGGCTACTGTATTTCACAGGACAGCGAGGTGCCAGAGCACCTGCTGGGATGCAGGTGGTATCCCATGGGGATGAGCGCCCAGCCTGGCTCATGTCAGAGACCCTTCGCCACCTTCACACTCACTTTGGTGCTGACTATGACTGGTTCTTCGTAATGCAGGATGACACTTATGTCCAAGCTCCCCGCCTGGCCGCGCTTGCTGGCCACCTTAGTATCAACCAGGACCTGTACTTGGGTCGGGCTGAAGAGTTCATTGGTGCAGGGGAGCAGGCCCGGTACTGTCATGGTGGTTTTGGCTACCTGCTGTCTAGGAGCCTCCTGCTTCGGCTAAGGCCCCACCTGGATGGCTGCCGTGGAGACATCCTCAGTGCTCGTCCTGATGAGTGGCTTGGGCGCTGCCTGATCGACTCCCTGGGCATCGGCTGTGTCTCTCAGCACCAGGTACTGCCCTCCCATAACCTCAGGCTCCAAGAGGCTCATCAGAGTCTCCTGAGTGGTCCTGGAGCCCGACTCAATTGATCTCTGTAGAAGCTGCTGCCAATACAACCTTTAGTTTAGTAGCTACTTGCATTTTCAGCAAAAGCCATCCCTGCCACCAGTCTGTATTTGCATCAATCTGTACCTTCCCTGCAATAGTCATAAAACTTCAGAGACACCAAAATTATTAGCTCAGGACACTTGACCAATAGAGACAGGAACAATACTGAACATATGGGAATTTACTAGACATGGCCTTTACCCCCAGAGAAGAACCATCTTTTCCCCTTAATGAACACATCTGTTCTTCTCCCAGAGAGAGAGTGAGAGCTACTATTACACATTCAGCCCTCTCCTGGAGAGAAAAGGACTGTTCCTGGATATGTTCCACCCTTCCAGTCCAGAAAGATGGGGCTCTTCCCTGGAGAAACAGGAGGCCCATTTAAGGGAATGGGGTATTCTTAGCTGCTGATCTCTCCTTTTGGATATCAGAACAATGGGACTCAGAAGTGAAATTGAGGTGCAAGCTGGAGTGAATTTACAGTCCCCTTCCCCTACCTCCTTTAGAACACTGGGGATGAGTAATCCAGCAGGGAAAAGGGAGGTTCTTGGGCAAGAGACTCTTAAGGGGCAGTGGGCAAGTCCCCTGTATTGGGGGGGGGGTTAGAATGCAGTGGGCATATATACAAGTTGGGTGAAAAGGACATTGTCTTTTCTCTGTCCCTCTAGGGGCAGCAGTATCGCTCTTTTGAGCTGGCCAAGAACAGGGATCCTGAGAAGGAGGGAAGCTCAGCATTCCTGAGTGCTTTTGCTGTGCACCCTGTCTCTGATGGGACGCTCATGTATCGGCTACACAAGCGCTTCAGTGCCCTGGAGCTGGATCGGGCCTACAGTGAGATAGAGCAGCTGCAGGTGAGCCAGAAATTGGAGATAGTTTACAAGGTGGCTTTTGTCATAGGGAGAGGGAAGATAAAGGAATTGAAATGGGTTTACAGTGAGAAAGCATCCAGATGAGCTGGAGCAGTGGACTAGGCCAGAATGGAAAAGAAGGTGGTGACTAGATCTGATTTTTGACCATCTTTAGAGAAGAAGATTTTGACTCATGTCTAAGATAACCAGAGGGAGAAAGCTACTGGGTGAGCCCATGGGCTGTTTAAGTGTCTGAGGTTATGTGAGGAGTAAAAGAGGCTACAAGCAAACTCTCAGGGAGATATGGATACAGGAATACTGTGTGTACTGTGTTGGGCAGAAGCCTGGCAGTTTCTCTTAATTAAGAAGAGAAGCTTTTGTTCCTGCTCCTGGGGACTTATGACCTCCAGAGATGTCTAGATGTAGTAGGTTAATGTACAGCTAGGGGGTGGGGGATGGAAACCATATATAGACAAAGTAGGGGCAAGAACAGGGCCTGGCTGTGACAGGGATGTGCTATTGGGTTTGGGAATGATGGAGAAAAGGTTGTTACAATTTATATTTCTCTAGTGCTCTTAATTTTTGTTCAAAACAATTAATTTCTATTATCTAACTCTCAAAACAACTCTGTGAAGTGGATAGGGTTAGTCTTATTATCTCCATTTTACAAACGGAAGAAAAAGGTTTCATGATATGCCTAAGTTCCTGTGGCTAATGAATGGCAGGGCTAGACCTGAAAGGTGAATTTGAGCTTAGAAAGCCCTAGCTATGTGAGGCCCTGTGTAAGGCTTTGACAGGTTATGCTCTCTCTTTCTCTAGGCACAGATCCAAAACCTTACAGTGCTGACCCCAGAGGGTGAAGCAGGGTTGAGCTGGCCAGTGGGGCTCCCTGCCCCTTTCACTCCACGCTCCCGTTTTGAGGTGCTGGGTTGGGATTACTTCACAGAGCAGCACATCTTCTCCTGTGCAGATGGGGCCCCCAAATGCCCGCTCCGGGGGGCCAGCAGGGCAGATGTGGGTGATGCTGTGGAGACTGCTCTGGAGCAGTTGAATAGGCGCTACCAGCCCCGCCTACGCTTCCGAAAACAGCGGCTCCTCAACGGTTACCGCCGCTTTGACCCAGCAAGGGGCATGGAGTATACGCTGGACCTCCTTTTGGAGGCTGTGACCCAACGTGGGCACCGTCGAGCCCTAGCTCGAAGAGTCAGTTTACTTCGGCCACTGAGCAGAGTGGAAATCCTACCTATGCCTTATGTCACCGAGGCCACGAGGGTACAGCTAGTGCTCCCCCTTCTGCCTACAGAAGCTGCCGCTGCCCCAGCCTTTCTAGAGGCCTTTGCAGCTGGTGTCCTAGAGCCAAGGGAACATGCTTTACTGACCCTGCTGCTGGTCTATGGGCCACGGGAGGGTGGTCGAGGGGCCCCAGACCCCTTTGCAGGGGTGAAGGCAGCAGCAGCTGAGCTGGAGCGCAGACACCCTGGGACACGACTGGCCTGGCTTGCTGTGCGAGCTGAGGCACCCTCCCAGGTGCGGCTCATGGATGTAGTCTCAAAAAAACACCCAGTAGATACACTCTTCTTCCTAACTACTGTCTGGACAAGGCCTGGGCCTGATGTTCTCAACCGCTGCCGCATGAATGCCATCTCAGGCTGGCAGGCTTTCTTCCCTGTCCACTTCCAGGAGTTCAACCCTGCTTTAGCCCCAGTGAAGTCACCCCCAGGGCCTCCTGGGGCTGGCCCTGATCCACCCTCCCCTGCTGGTCCTGATCAGCCTCGGGGGGCCTCAGCTGGAGGCCGATTTGACCGGCAGGCCTCTTCCGAGGGGTGTTTCTACAATGCTGACTACTTAGCAGCTCGAGCCCGGCTGGCCGGGGAACTGGCTGGACAGGAAGAAGAGGAAGCCCTTGAGGGACTAGAGGTGCTTGATGTTTTTCTACGCTTCTCAGGACTGCACCTTTTTCGTGCAGTTGAGCCAGGCCTGGTGCAGAGGTTTTCACTTCGGGACTGCAGCCCGAGGCTTAGTGAGGAACTCTACCATCGCTGTAGGCTCAGCAATCTGGAGGGATTGGGTAGCCGGGCTCAACTTGCTATGGCGCTTTTTGAACAAGAGCAGGCCAATAGTACCTAATCCACTCCTCTGTACACTGGTACTTCCTTATCCCTTCCCTTTTGCTGTTTTTGCCCCAGGAAGGGCAAGGCAAGATGGTCTGAGACAGATGGAGAAATTGTTACTGTATTTTTTTTAAATGAGAAATGTTATTAAAAGTTTCTTCTACCAAATTATTGTTAGGTTTGGAGGCAGGGCTGAGAGAAAGGAAAAGTATGAGGGGAAAGGAATGTGAAAGCGTCCTTCCCAATGAGCCACTGTCTTTTGCCTCTTCCAACTTCCCAGTTCCCAATAACTACACAGTTACTGGTAGCCGAATGACCTTTAATCTGGTCCCCTCAGCCCCACATGGAAAATATCTCAGAAGTGATGTTACAGCCCAGGGGGCGGTCCCTGGGGTGGGGGGGGACCTGGCCCTGGAGGTCCATGGTGGAGTCTGGTCCAAGGAGGTGTCCCTAGGTGTTGCGCACACCCAGGGATTGCTCCAGTTCCTGCCTGCGCTGCTGGATCTGCAGAAAGGAAGAGCAGTACTGGGTGCAGCACCCCCAGGGAGGGAAGAGCCCACCCACAGGCACACAGGCCACCTAACCTGGGCAGAAATCCTGGGAGCAAGCTTCCTGTGTTTAGATGGGAGCAGGGGAGGTACTGTACCTTGGGGGCGGAAGAAGGGAGAGATTTCCCCATAGGGAATAGGAGAGATTTCTCCAGGGGGATTCTCAATGAAGAAGCTATTTTTTTTTAAATAACTTGCCCTGGAATAGAGTGGATAGGGAAAGGAGAGTGTACGTGGTTGGAACTATTGTGCTACCTTGCAGTAGAAATAGCGGCTGACAGCTTCCTGGGACCAGGGCTGGTGGTAGAACTCTGCCCGACGTTCCTCCTCAGGATTTCCTGCTACATCTGTCATTACCTGAAGGACAGCACAGGAATCAGCCTCTCAACCCAGAACCAGCTTTCTTTTCACCCATCTTCCTAACGCTAAAAATCTACCAAATCTCTTTCATTCCTCACTCACAACCCTGAGCTTTTCCTCCACTCCAGCGTCTTACCTTAAGGTCCCGACTCTGGGAGCGGAGAAGGTCTTGGACATAGCCTTTGGGGTCTCTGGAGAAACTCAGCATGAAGTCCCTCTGAATCTTGAGCTGGTTTATAGACTCAATGGTCTCATGGATCTAGAAGTGAAATAGAAAGGCTTTCTTATTCTGAACCTGTCTCGATGGCAGAAAGAGAAGTCATGAGAGAGGGAGGGAGTAGGGTGTGACTTCATTCTCCTGTGCTTCCAAAGGCAAGTCTTCACATCCTTTAACCCTTCAAAGATCTTAAGGAAGTGGGGGAGAGGGGAGTGGCACAGGAAGATACTGAGATTCAGGAAGCAAAGGGAAAAAGATGGAAAAGTCATCATCTGCTTATGCTCCAGGACATTCATTCTATATCTGCATTTTGTTCTCCAGGTTTATGCTCAGTGCCAGCTCTAAGTACTGACCCTACCTTACTGTCCAGGGCACTGATCTCCTGCTGGTTGGCTGTGGACAGAAGGAAGCTGCTCATCTGACCCTTCAGTGGCTCTTCCACCTCCACGTCAATATCATAGCATGCTGTCTTCTTCTGGTCTGAGGGGTCCACACTACCAGGAGAAAAGCAACCCTTCCAGATTCCAGGGCCTGTACAGGGCCCAAGAGGCTTGGGATAGGAGCCAAAGGGATCAATGGGAAGCTGAGGAAAGACCAAAAATTGGAGGCGGGGAAGGGAAAGTACCTGGAGAATTCTGGGGTGGGGAGAGGGAGAGGAACTATCTCACCTGATGACATGGTTGATTACAATTGGGTCTGGGGGCAGTAGCAGGGCTGTGAGGCGCTGGGGGATTTCAGAAAATTTCAGCCGAGGACAGTCAAAGATCTGGGGAAAGGGGGTAGGGGATAGGAAATATATCACCCTTTTGTGCTTGAGGATGTCAGGGTCCTCATTTCATTTTTCCAACTCCAGAAAAGCCCCATTATGGAGACTGAGACCAGCCATCATTACTCAGTAAAAATGGGGGTGTGGTGATATGACTAAAGAAAGAACTCTTACTCTGAGATTACCTTCTGAGATTATTTAATAATAGCTTAGTGATCCTCCCACATTTGTAGAATTCTTTATATTTTTCAAAGTGTTTTTTACATGCATTATATATTTTTCACAAGAGTCCTATGTGGTAGGTGAGGCTGGTATTTCTATTTCAGAAACAAAGAAAATTTGGCTCCGAATGGAAGTTAAGAAATCTGTTCAAGGTCATGTAGATCTTGGGGCTAGAAACAGAACTGATTCCTAACTCCCAGAGAACCTGGGCTTCTAAAACGCTAGAATTTTGGAAGACTCTAGGTCTGGTTGAGGACACTCAAATGGTTTAAGTGACTTGTCTGTCCACACAGGCATTTAGTGGTGAAGTCAGGATCAGAACCCAGTTTTCCTGTTCCTGATCTGTTGGTCCTTCCTCTACACATGTGGCCTCCAATGAAAATCTACTTCTTGAAAATCTTCTCCATGAAGCTTGAAGCCTGCTCCTGCGTGTAGTAGGGAGTTCAATAAATATTCATTAAGTTAGGGAATTTGATCCTCAATGCTCTTGGGCAGTAGGAGAAGAGGTAGCATCCCCATTTGCAAGATGAAATACAGATTCAAGAGAGTTTTAGGTTCTAGTTACCTTGGAAGTCTTTGTCCCTACTCCTTGCTCCCTCAGATCCCTGGATTTAGGGGAGAGGTTACCTGCTGGAAGTACTTGTCCCCATTGATGTACTCTTTGTCATGAGAATCCTGCAGCCGATTAGTCTTTACGTATTGCCACAGGGCCTGCACGATGGCTGATCGGCTCTGTGTGTGAAGCCCCAGCAGTCGTGCCAGGCGAGGATCCAGTTTGAACTGGGGAGGCTGTAGGAACAAGTACAGGGGAGGATAAAGGGAGGTGGACGGGCAGACATTTTGGAACTGGGGACCGTGAAGAAAGGGCTTCTTTGAGATAAGGCATTCCCAAAGGAAGAGACTTGGGGAAGGAGAAGAGGGTTTCCAAGGGGCCCAACCCACAGGTCTAAGGCAGGGGGTCTATCTGAGAGAAAAATCACTGGGGGCCTCTCGGGCCTTTTCCCACAGAGGACAAGGGCACTGATGTGGTTTTTGAGGTGAAGCAGGCAGGAGGGAGCAGGTACCTGGTAATCCAACATAAGGAGTAAGGTGCAGCGCACGCTCAGGTCCCCTGGCCGTTTTACCTGGAATCCATCCGTTTCCTGTGTTGTGGGTGTCCGGTGCCACTGTCCAGGGCAAAAAGAGCTAGGTTACCACCACAGCCCTGCCTGAATTTTGGGTAACTTTGAGCTCCAGGATGCCATTTTCTAGGCTAAATGCTGAGACAGCTTGGAAATGGTGGTGATCTTAGTCGGGGACCTGTCTGCAAGCTGCTGTAGAGTACTGCACGCAGGAGGTACCTAATAAATGTTTGCTAAAAGGATCAATCTTGGGCTCTGTGTGGAGAGGGCAGGACTTGGGGGGCACAATAACAAGACTTTTTTGCTGTATGAATAAATGAATGAATAGGATCTCTCACCTCCACCAAGTGGTTGTCTGGGCCATAGAGATCTTTGTCCAGCTCAATGACCAAACTCTTAAAGAAGGAAGAGAACTTCCGCTTCTGCTTGCTGGGCTGTGGGAGCAGAACAGGGGCCGTGGGGGCAAAACAGGGGCCATGGGGGGTAGAATAAGGCTGGGCTGGGAGCAGGCAAGGGAGGGGCTATCAGGATGAAATTGATGAGGGCAAGATAGGGCAACATGAACACATGCAGCCTCCTCCCTTCCTCCCCTAGAATTGTCCCTTCTGCATAAGCACCCCAATTCCCACATCCCTTCCCCTCATCCCATCCTATCCCATTGCCTCTGTCTTGCCCCCTGATGCCTGGCACAAATATAGCTGCTGCATCTGTCCCAGCAAGTCCATCGTAGACCCATAACCCACCCCGGAACCCGTGGAGAGACCTGGGCCAGGACGTACGTCATCCAGCAGTTTCCCCTCCACCCGCAGTTCCCAGGATGCGATGCTGCCATCTGAGTCCTCTGCATCTGGCTTTGCAGGGTTAAACGTGTTGGAGATATAGAGCCGAAGCTTCCTCTTTTGCTGTAGAAGAAAAAAGAGTGACACACCCACCACTGAGCAGTCAGGGAAGAGCCTTTGATCCCTGAGGCAGATAGCCAACTTGTAGGACCAACATTTTATTCTTCGGGGAGGGTACCATATGCCCGTCTACCTTAGAACAGATGCTATAATATCCAGAGGGCAGATATCAAACTCCCCCAGGGCAGATAATAGCTAACTTTTATAAAGAGCTTTTTCAAGTTTGCAAAGGACTTTACCAACATCTCATTTAAACTTTCCTCAATGATCCTATGAGATGGATACTTCAGGTATTATCCCCATTTTACCGATGGATCTGAAGCTGAGAGGTTAAGTAATTTGAGATTAAATAACTTGCTTGTGGTCACATAGCTACTTAGTATTGGGAGATGGGATATGAATCCAGACCTCTCAATTCTCATCCAGTGTCTTCTACCACTGCTGCTTCCTTATACTCTATCCTCTGGTAATTAGATACTATGTGCCCAAGGGCCTGGCTCTGTGGGGTCCCACTTCCAACCCCGTGACACCTTCATTGGCCTTTTCAGGGCTTCTTGGATGTCCACTCGCTTCCGCATGATGGTCTGGTCCAGCTTCCTCTCAAAGGCCAACAGGTCCATGTAAGCCTGGGACTCAGGGACCAGCTCTCGGATCTGGAGGGGAGGGCAGAGAATTAGGGGCTTCAACAAACTTGGGCTATGAAATGTAGAGATGTCGTCTTCTCCCAGGACTTTGGAGTTAGGGGTGTCTAAACTCTGAGTGTAGAACGTGAGGGTTTCAGTCAATCCTGAGGTGTGGAATTGACTGAGGAGTGGGGAGACTCCATATCCATATTTGCTAGAAAAGACTTCACAAGTTAGGGAGAAGGGGATTATCTCATCCTTTAAGGCAACCCATCCATTCTGTCATTAGGGAGGGGGAGAATCAGCTGGCAAACTAAACCAGCAAGGAGAAAAGCTGCCCACTTTATCCTTTAACATAGTCACTGAAGCTTGGGGGTCTAATGAGACATGGTGGATTCCTAGTGGTCACTGTGAAGCCGAGGGCTCTTGGGTCCTTGAGACAACTGAGGGAGCCAGTAGCCATACTTTTGAGGACTACGGGGTCAGACCTTAGTCTCATAGTGCACAAACTGCTGGCATTTGGGTGACTTAGACATTAATTCAGGCTCCTACCCTTCACCCTAACAGTGGGACAATTACCCTGTTCAGTCTCTTTGCTACCCTCTCCCTATTCTCCCAACCAGTCTCTATGCCAGCTCTCTGAAGTATTCTACTTCCCAGCTTAGCCCCAGGCTCCAGTTTCTATTCCCCTTAACCGTGCCCCCCAAAGCTTCTGTACCCCTTTTTGTCCCCAGTCTCTATTTCTAGATCCCTCAACTTCCATTTACTGAAACCCCACCTCCCCCAGCTCCAGTCAGCATTCTGGCCCCTCATATCTCTGCGTCTTTCCTCTGTCCCCCTCCCCCCTCCCAACCCGCTGGCCTGGGGAGCCTCACTTCTTAATTAGCTTTTTAGAGAAAAAGTGAAAGTGACTGTGACGAAGAAGCTTTGGCCCGGAGGGAGGAGGGGGAGGTATCGCAGTGGGGGGGGGCAGCAGAGGAGGGGAGCAGAAAGGGAGGGGGACAGGCAGGGGGGCTGCCGTGAAAGGCACTCACCCTTTGAGGGAGGATTTTGTCAGCCATCTTCCTCCTCTTGGCACTGTACATTTTTTAAAGAAAAAACCAGGTTACCATGGCGACAGATCTGGGAGTAACGAGGCCACCTGCTAAATTATCCCGACATCTCCGCCCGCCCGGCTGGGGTTCCCACAGCCTGCCCGCTTGCCTGAGGGGCTGAGCGGCCAGGCAGTGGGGCTGGGGCTGGGGCTGTGACCTTTCCTGGGGGACAGGGCTGACCATAATCACTCCCTAGCCTAGAATCCCTCTCCCTCCCACCGCATCCACAGGGTTAGGGAGGATCTGGAACAACTTGGACTTGGGGGACAAGGAGAGGGAGTGATATTCAAAGGTCTTGTTGGCTTGGATTTTGCAGGCAGCTTGGACTGGAAGGAAGACCAGGGATGGGGGCAGGGCAGGGCTGGGGAGCTCGAGCCAGTAAACTCCAGGGTTATCAGGTTAACTTTGGGGGAGAAGGCATGGGTTAGGGCCGGTGGCCTAAGGGAAAGGAAGGCTGCTTTCTTTCTAGTCACAGGGGAATGGGCTAAGGATGTGCCCCAGCTTGGGGGTGAGGCATTCAAAGGATACACATGCATGCACAACCAGGATGATGGGTAGGCTCTGGGGACACTCATGTCTATATCCCTTGTATGCCCATGCTAGGGGCATCATTTAGTATTATATACAGTTAGGGAGGTGTGGCTGGCAACTGGAGACTGAGGGATCAAAGCCACATTGGGGCTTAGGGAAAGATTTGAACTTTCTCTTATAAGGTCTCTGCCTCTGACCCTCAAATAGGATTAAATGCTCCCTAAGATCCCTTCCAACTGTAAATTGTACAATCCTAGGATCTGTTCTTTAAACAGAGGCTGGGGAAATGAAAGGCTCTGGTTTAGGCATGTACTGGGACGATAGCTCCACACTGCCCCCATGTGGTGTTCTGTCTCATTGCCCAGCTCCCCGTTCAACCTCATCCCCCACCTTCTTATCCCACCCGAGGGAGGTGAGGGGAAAGCCTCTTTTTTTCACAGGTGTACCTCACTTTAAGCTAACTCACTATATGGAAAATCCAGATTTACATGTGATAAACTGGGGACAAGTTATGCTGTTCAGGCTAGCGTCATTTACTTTACCATGAGACTCCTTTGAACTCAATGGATTTAGAGTTGGAAGGAACCTCAGAGGTCATTTAGTGAATTCTTTCATTTGACAGATAAGGAAAGTGAGGCTTTAAGGAGTGAACTGAACTGAATGTTTTAAAATAGGATTCAAGTGAACATTAATGATAATTTACAAAAGTTCTAATTACACCCTTTTCAAGAATTCATCTGTTGTGCAAAGTAAGGCTTCCATGTTTCACTAACAACCAAAGACCTAAAGGGAGTTTTGTATATGCAGCCCAAGCTGCGGCAGGGAGGAAGCTGATACTGGTGGGACTGAACTGGATCAAGAGGATATGGAGCCACGCTTGATCTGGTAGGCTTGGCACCTGTCTTGCGGCCTCTAAGACCCTCCCAGGACTATAACCAATTGAGCCACCACCCCCAAGAGCTGACAGAGAACCAACGGAGCAGATATGCTGGGGCTGAGAGCCAGGGGGACAGTAATGATGGGAGGTTGGGGAGAAGGGACAAGGTGGGATAAGGGCAGGCAAGAGAGCACATGGGGAATGCAAGGAAGAGGCAGAAGCTGGGGATATGCCATCACTTCATAAATGAGCTATGGAAGGAAAATAGTTTGGAAAGCCAAAGGCTAAAAAAGCCTAAAGGAAGGCCATTGACTCTAGGTCACCTATTTAAATTCACCTAGAATGGGGAGTGGAGGGGGGAACATATTCTTCCATCTTGATTACTCCTAGCTAAAAACTTTGCCCCTAAGACTAGCTATTCCCAAAGCCAATCACTCTCCTCCCCCCCCTCCTTCCCTCCACTTGCAGGTAGCTCTCTCACTCACCTGCGGCTCCTGGTAGGGGCTGTGGGCACTGGCTGGCCCTGACTCTGCGCCTGGCTCTGCCCGGGTGGGGGTGCTGCTCGCTTGCGGGCTGGCTCCATTCCGGCCGGGGCCAGGCCAGGCCGAACGGCGGGGCTGCCCATGTACGGGGAACCCGGGGGACCCATGGGCGCCCCCTGATGGGGCATCCGGGCTCCAGACGGCATCCCGGGGCGCTGGGTTGGGGAGCAGGGTGAGGGGGAGAAGGGGAGCAAAGCAGAGACATGGCGAGCCAGTCAGACTGGAGCAGCTAGCCTTTGAATCTGTTCTCCAGAGATCACACCTGGAGGCTCAAAGCCCATTTGAGATTTAAACCTCTAATTTGGCCACATCAACATCTGGATACAGCCGACAGTAACAGTCCTTCCCCACCCACCTCCCAAATACCTTCAGAAGTCCAAGACACCTCAGCTACGACCCTGAGCTTTCTAGGCTGCTAGCAATGAGAGGGATGAAGGGGGCAGAGTGGGGGGGGGAGGGGGAGAAGTATCAGGGTGTAGAATATGCTCTACTTTAGTGCAGTTCATTCTTACAAAAGGAAGCTGCGCACTTCCCAGATCCCCTAATGGGATCCGTTTGAGTCCTATTCAATCGGGATCTGCAAGAGTAAATAATAATAGCGCCTAAACTTTTTTCATGCTTATTATCACACCACCTAGTGCAGTAGTTTGCATACTGGTCTGGACATATAGGTTTCAGGAATACCCTCTACTATGGCACATCAACAACTGAATTGCAACCAATAGTCTTTAAGAGTTGCCTGGGGTACTGAGAATTTAAGTCACTTGCCCAGGATCGTGCAATCAGAGTACATCCGAGGAAAGAGTTGAACCCAGGGCTTACGGACTCAGGGACCAACTATCATGCCATTACCTCTCTTCAATACCTCAAGGACCTATCATCATCTTCATGTGGGCTCTCCCTCACCAATGTGTGTCCTAGGCCTTCATTTGCCTTAGAAAACATCACATCAACATGAGCTGCTACAGCAGCCAGCACTCTGACAATGAACTTCTTTGCACTTGGTTGGGTCGTGCTTGCATGGTAGATACAGTCAATCACTGGCCCCATACATGAAGTCTCTCCAGCTTGAGAGCACATGCCAGAACTACTTATACTTGGCTGGCACAGTTTTCAAGACCCAGGGTCACCTCTTTATCACAATGATGAATCATAGTGGGACATCTGTGGAGGTTGTGCATGAGCAGGAATTCAATAAATATTTGCTGAATGAAGGAATCTCATATGATCCTCACAACAATCCTATGCCATTAGTAGGGAAAGTATTATTACACCCATTTGACAAACTAGGAAAGTAAGGTTTAGTGATTTGCTTGAGGTCGTAAAATTATAGAATGTTAGGGCTGGAAGAGATAGATCACCTATAGATTTCAAGAGGTCTGTGAACTTAGATGGTAAAAATTACATCTTTATTTCAATATAATTGGTTTCCTTCATAATTTTATGTGTTTTATTTTATGCATTTAAAAACATTCTGAGAAGGGGTCCATAGATTCACCAGACTGCCAAAGGTTGTCCTGGTCACCAAAAAAGGTTAAAAAACTGCTGATCTAATCAGCATCCCTTTTTACAGAGAGGAAAGCTATATGTTACACAGCTAATTTGTGGCAAAGGCAGGATTAGGGAATCTAAGCCTCAAGGCTTCTAGTTCTGTAATTTCCTTAGAGGATGCTGCCTTTCTAAACTCAAGGGCTAGACTCCTGGGGCTCAATCCAATCCAATCCCAATCCCCAGCCCTGTCTAACCTTGTCTCCTAATTTCTTACTTCCTAACCCTGTCTGCTCTGTGGTTCTAAATAAAGGGGCTATCTTTTTAGAGGGGATGAGAACCGTAGACCAGTTCCACCTCTCCTTGGTAGACAGGAGGGAGGAAAGCAGTTACTGAAATATTACAAAGTAATTGGATGGAAGAGCACCACAGTCTGGTCAAGTCATGAGAAGGCTTTCTGGTTGGTTGAGTTGGGGATTAGAAGAATGGATGAATAAGTGCATACAGAAAACTCAGGTGGGTCAATCCCAAAATTGGCTTCGGTGTGTTCTAAGTAATGGCATCCTTTCCTGGGGCTATGAGGAGAATATGACTCCAGATTAGGGGCTCTTGGCAAAGAAGGAATCATGGAATAGGCTAGGCCTGGGGAACTTTAGTTAAGGATTAGGTTAGAAAACTTAGGTGCCACTCAGTCTGGGACTGGGTAGATTTCTTTTACACATACTTCTAATTACCTTGCCCTGGTGTATTATTTTTGAATTTGTATATTCTCTTTTTCTTTGTAAATAAATCCCAGAAAATGCACTCTTGTGGTCTAGAGGGGGTAGAAGGGAAAGAGGGAAATGGGTGCAATGGTGGCTGCAGCAGAGGAAGGAAGACAGGTAATTAGGGATTGGATATGGCAGTTCTCTGAATCCAAGAAACTAAGACAGCTTAGTGAGCCAAGAAGGTTGGAGAGCTCTGTGCCTCTGACTGGGGTCAGTGATTAGGGAAGTTTAGAAAATAGTGAAAGGTGGAAGCCCTACTAAGCTTCCCTTTGGAGGAGCTGATGCCCCTGGAAGCTGACTGGGATTCTGATTGGTATAAAGCCCAACAGTGGATCCTAAAATGAACCCTATTTCCAGGTCCCTGTTGGACCCTGTTTCTTGCTCTTTGGCTCCAAATCATCTGACTGAAATCCCCACTCCTCTCCTTTCCAATGAGACTCTGCTCTAATCCTGATCCATGTTCTGAGAGAAGAAGATCACAGAGGGATAGGAGACCAGCAGCTTTCTTTTGAACATGCTGGAGGACAGATTGGAGATAGGATCTTGTTGGGTTTCCCATTTCTTTTCTCATCTGGGGGTGATGGAAGATAGTATCCAAGATACTCTCATAGTATAGTACACTATAGTAACTATAGTATCCAGAGACAAGGTCAGAGGTGATATTAGAGTAGGTCAGAATATTGGGTCAAAGAAAGTCTGGGGCAGGTCAGAGTTGGAAATAGGTTCTGTAAAAGCCGAAGAGTAGGCCTTGACCTTGTTTACTTCCACTTCTCTTTGGACCACTCTTTTTTTTTTTTAAAGGCAATTGGGGTTAAGTGACTTGCCCAGGGTCACAAAGCTAGTGTCAAGTGTTTGGTCTGAGGCCGCATTTGAACTCAGTCCCCCTCACTTCAAGGCCGATGCTCTATCCACCGCACCACCTAGCTGCCCCTTGGACCACTCTTTGATAAGGTAGGAAAGAATATTTAGGGAATACAGTCCCAATCTGTCCAGTTTTCCCCAACTTCCTCCAAAGGTTCTGGAATCCTACATGAAATGTTCCCCTAACTGTCCTCCTCATTCTCACCCCCCCCAACTCAATCAAATCCTGCCACTCAATACAGTAAGGGGTCAGAGGGGCCTTGGAGAAGGAGATGAGGCAGAAATCAGCATCCCTGTCCCTCAGTGGTCAGATGACATGCAAATGAGATGCAAATGAGCAAATGAAGTGATCTACATGCTCATTAACCCCAATTGTCCAGGCCCTAGAAAACAGTTGGGGGAGGGAGGAGTGGGGAGCAAGGGAATCCAGGGACTACAAAGAGGGAGAAGAGAGATAGGGTCAAGGAAAGAGAGAGGGAGGTTAAGGATTCTCTGCACCTGTCATCTTCTCATGAAATTACCAGTTCTAGCCTAAGTGCTCCCCTCCCAGGAGTACAGCTGCCTTTGAGTCACAAGGAGGAGCCTATATACTGAGCCTGATGCCCCCAGAGCAGCCAACTCTCCTCTACCCCAGAATATCCCTAACCCTAATCTCCCCTCCCCCTACTTGAGGCCAGCTGTCTCTGCCCATCTCTCCTAAGGCCAAGATACTAAAAGGCCTCAGTATAAGAGAATCCTGGAGGGAGGGAGGGAGGGTAGTCACTTCCCCACAACAGACCCCCTTCCTCCTGTGCTGACTCTCCCTTTCCCCCCTCCCTCAGTCTCCCAGGAAGCCCCGCTGGTCCTGTCACTCACACTTCTGAGGTGGGTTGCTTGGTCATGGATATTCAGAGCAAGTCCTTCTTGGAGCCTTCGATTCCCCTTCCCCACCCACAGAGCAGACTCACAGAGGATTGCCTGATCTCTGTGGAGGGAGCACAGGGCAACACCCTGCAAAGCTCACAGCATAAGATCTAATGCTCTAAGTTGGTCACATCATTCCTTGGTTAGGCATATTAATTCCACATCCCATGCCCATTTTCTCAAAGGGGCTTCATTTGGAAATGGGCTTGAGGCTTAGTATTCTTGGGGTGAGTTTCCTCCAAATGCCCTTCCCTGGGGGTGAGCAACTCCAGAAGTAGACAGCACAGAAGTCAAGTCCAAGGGCCACCACAGGCCCTTCACCACTTAGCAAAGCTAGTCATTCCTATTCTTTCTTTATCAGGGGACCTCCTTTGCCTCCAAGAGAATTGGGGAGCTCTAGATCTCCTCCCCAAGGAGCCAAAAAGAACCACTTACATTCTGGAGAATTTGCCATAACCTAAAAGAGGACTTCCAATGGGGGCAAATCCCAAATTTGGTCTTTTAAATCAATTTCCTCTAAAAAATGAGGGGACCTGAATATACCTCCATCTCTTATCATCATCACCTATTCCCCACCAGGTGATGTCATGCCTGCCCCCCCCAGTCACTTCCATCAGTTCCCATCTTGCTCTACTCCCCTCACACACACACATCCTCTACTGACTCAGTGCCACAGCCCACATCCCCCAGACCATCGAGTTCTCTTTGGAGCCTCATTCCTTCAGAGGTATACCCTGGCCTTTCTGACATTCCATCTTCCCTGCTTCTGCCATCACAATCTCCCCTCTGGATGGTGACTCTGCTCTCTCTCTCCAGGTCCCAAGTCTCACACCCCATGGGGCCCCACCTCTTCACACCTTTGACGACCTGGGAACATCTTCCAGTGTGCTAAGAGAACTCTCAAACCTCAAACAGCCTCAGCTCTCCAAAGGAAGGCATCCACTGCGTGAGGGCTCTCCCTGTCTCTAGGGACAGGGGGCTCCAGGAGCTCTCCCACCACCTCCCTCTTGCCACGATGCTGAGGTTGCCTAGGCCTAGCCTGGACACCTCTTTGGGTGCTGGGAATTTCTCCCGATCACAGCTCCCTTAAAGTCACCTGCTACTCCACTCCCGAGTCCCGGGAGCGAGTAAGACCCAATGCTGATGTCCCAGCTCCGACAACCCTGTTTTCTCCCTGGCCAGGAGGGAGAGAGCGGCCTGAGTCACAGACTAAGTTTGGGGTCACAGAGAGGATGCCCCTACCTGAGGCTGTCCCTCAGATCTTCCCCTAGTCTTCTCCCCACGTATCCCCCAAGTCTCCAATGAGTGGGCGCCTCGCCCCCTCCCTGCCCATCCCCATTCCCATGGTCCAGGCTCTGAGGCTTTCCTGGCACACCTTGCCTTGGGGCTGGGGCGCGGGTCCAGCATGCCCCCCACCCCCAGAGCCGAGGGGAGCTGTGAGGGGAGAGCCCGCCTGGCCCCTCCCGGCCATCCCTCCATTCAGCCGGAGCCAGCTCACTCACCCTCCCCCGCTAACTTTCCCCCACTCACCACCCCATGGACCAGAAACTCAAAAAGTTTGCTTTTCGTGGCTTTGCGCGCCCCTCCAGTAACTTCGTCCGCGGCCATCGGGGTGGGCTCAGCCGCTCCTCTCCCTCACACACACACTCTCTCTCTCTCTTCCTCTTTCTTTCCCTTTTCTGCCTTTTTTTTTTTTCCTCCAACTCTCCCCTCTGAGTCCTGCTGGGCTCTCTCACACTTCTACTAGAGCGGAGTGGGGAGGGGGGCCCCTTCAGGGCTGCCCTGACGGCCCACGGCCCACGCCGCTCCTGCTCAGCTGCTGCCACCACTGCCGCTGCTGCTGCCGCCGCCGCCGCCGCCGCCGCTGCCGCTGCCGCATTCCTGCACTGATAAGACAGAAATAGTCCGGGCTGCCCGGGGTCTGGCTGTTTACTCGGTGGGGACAGAAAATCCTGCCTTTTTAAACCTCGCTGTCCAAACAGCGCAGATAAGCGGGGAGGCGAGCTCAAAATACCGTCTGTTGCTTGGCTCGGCTTGGCCTGCCTGCCCGCCCGCCAGCCCGCCCTGCAGCCCCGAGGCCTGGCTGGAGGGGGCGAGGGGAGAGAGGGGAGGGGAGGGGAGGGCTGCGAGGATGGGGGAGTGGAGGTTGGGGACCGGGGCTCAGCCACCCGGGGGCCGTCTCCGCAAATAGTTTCTGGGTTAGAGAATTCGCCAAGAGAGCCAGGCGAAGAACAATCATTTCCAACTTTCCCCCCCCTTCCCTCCCCAAGTTGTTCCTGCTGCATTTCTAAGGCTCTTTCCCCCAGAGACCTGGCAGGCCAAAGCAGGGAAACATTCACTGGCAAAGATTCCAGCATGAGACCAAGAATGGAAGAGCCCCTTCCGCACCGGGGCAGGGAGGCAGCAGGGGGTGGTGTGGAGGGCTGTGTGGGAGAAAGCCTGGATGAATGTGTGTGTATCCTTGCGTGTGCACAGATCTTTGAGAACGTGTCCCCTTTGTGTATGTGTGTGTGTCGATGCCTTTGTGCATGCGTGAAGACTTGTTCATGCGTCTACGTGCTTTTTTGTGTTTATCTTTGTGCTTAGAACTATGTATGTGAGCCTGTGGTCTGTCTGGATCAGCGTTCAGATGTCCATGTATGAGACTGACCATGTGCTGTGTGTTTCGGCCTGTTTGTAAGTGTATGCATCTATTTCTGGATATGTAAGTCTCTGCTGGTGTCTCTATGTGAGAAAGAGAGGGCTTAAGGGAAATACTTAGGAAAAAGAGAGGGCCTGAGAACAGGGAGAATGTGAAGGAAGAAGAGAATGGGAAAGAAGGCACAGTGGGCAGGAAGGATGAGAGTGCCATGCAGTAGGAGGGCCTTGGCCTTCAGAGGTCCTGTCTCTGGCCTTGGGGGCCTGAGAATGGAGAGAGTGGTGGAGAAGACACTGCAGCTGCCATCCCAGGCACCCAAGTCCCACTGGGACAGCTGTAGGTTCCAAAAGCATAGAAGAGCTGTCTGGGGAGGTGGGGTTTGGTCTTAGGGAGCCTGAGAAAAGGTTTGTGTGGGAGGGAGAGGCCAGGGAGTGGAGGAAGGGCAGGAAACAAGAGAACCCAATCTGTGAGTTCCAGCCTCTGCAGGGGAGCCTCTGACTCTGTCCCCTGACTCCCCACCCTCTGTTTCCACCAGCTTTTCTCCCCCATCAGTGGTGCTAAGGGGTGGAACACTCTGCCAGAGCCACCAAGGACAAAGGGTAGTCCTGTAGAGGCTCTCTAACCTCCAAAATCAACCTGAGGACAGGGGCAGTTAGCATGGCTAAATCAAGCCACCATCCTACTTCCCTTTGACTTCCAAGACCAGGTGCTCCAACTCAACCTTACAGTTCCAGATTCCACTGAAAGAACAGCACATAAAGAGGAGGAGAAAAGGAGAGCTTAGTCAGTCTGTTTTGCCTACTGCCTGGCTTTCTTTCTGCCATTGCCTGGTTTCTTGTCCATCCCCAGTGTCTTCGAGTGCAGACACTGATTTACACAGTCGCCACAGTCCCTTCTGTGTGAAGCCATGCCAATCCCAAAAGGAAGAAGCAAGACACTTGGACACTTAGAATCTGAGATTCTCCCAAAGGGTTTTTTCTTTGTTCATTTAGATGCCCCCCCTCAAATCAGAATAGAATAATTCCTGGAAAGGAATACTTTTCAGCCATCGAAAGCCACAATGGCTGTGTATAAAACATAGGGATTGGACAGGAACAGGAGGTCCAAGGGTTCTTTTGTACAGATTTCAGGGGTCTGTGAACTTGGATGGGGAAAAAAAAACACATCATCATTTTCACTAACCTCTAACTGAAATTTGGCATTTTCTTCAATATTTAAAAACATTTTTTCTGAGAAAGGGTCTCCCTCCTCTCCCCTACATCTTGTTTCTTTCTCTTCCCCAACAAAAACCCTATGTACTATCGAGACCAGTCTTCCCACTGGCCCCCCCCCAACATACCATCCCCATTCCTACCTTCACATGAGAAATTCATGCTGTTCTCCTGCTTGGTGATGGTCTTGTCTCCTCTCTGTCTACCATCTGAGGCCCAGTTCAAGTTCTACCCACCCCTTGAGCGTAAAGTGGTCTCCTCTCTCTGTCTCATTTTACATTCACTGTTTGTACCACATGATTTAACACTTAACTGAAAAATTAAAATGTTTGTTTTTTCATTGTTTTGGTTGTATATCTTGTCTCAAAAACCCAGACTGCAATCTCCTTCAGGACAAAGGGGTCCCCTTGTCTTCTACCATATTTCACTACCCCCCTCAATGTATAAACTCTGTCCAATGCAAGTAGGAATGTGAAGACAACAATGAACCAGCCCCTGCTCACGGGGAGCTTACATTCTATCAGTGAGATACACCATGTACAGGAATCATTATAATACAAGGCATCTGTATTATAATACAGAGACAGAGCACCAATCACTGAATGAGAGAAGGCTCCTTGGAGGAAGTGATGCCTGAAGGAGCCTTGAAGGAAGACAAGGATTCTGAGAGGTAGAGATGAGAAAGGAGCTCATCCCAGGCATATGGTAGGAGGGTTAACACCAGAGCCAGCTCTCCATTTCCCAGCACTAAGATCCAGTCTGTTTTGAGAACTTTTCATCCTCAGGGGTATGTGAGCTCTGGGATGGCTTCTGGGATAGGGAGTATCAGACCAGGGGATGTGTCCAGGTACTAGGCAAAATAAAGTTCAATTCCACAAAGCGCCTGCTATGTGCAAAATGGTGCTAAGTGAGGGGAATAAGAAGAGAAAAAAAGAAACAATTCCTGCCTCTGACTTGGGGGGGAGAGGGGGGAGAGGGAGAAGAGGGGAGGAACAAAAATCAGGAAGGCCAGCCAACCCTAGCATAGGATCCAGGGGAAGTTAAGGGGCAGAGAGACATCCAGGCTTTTGTAGGGAAGGAGCACTGATTATTTGTTGGGAAGAGGTATATTCAGTTGCTAAAGGAACTGAAGCCCTGACTAGCCTTGACATGGTAGTGCCACCTTCCTAATGAGCAAGAAACAGGAATGGACAGGAAGATGAAGCTGGGTAGAGGTCAAAGGCCCTTCATCACTCCTGCTTCAAGGTCCCAGACTATTCTCCTAGAACCACTAACACTATAGGATGCTCCTTCTAATATTCCAGAGCCCTCCCTGTCCATCCCCTGGACCACACTAACACATACATTCACAAGCAGACATCATAAATAACATGAGTATATAACAGAGACTTCTCAGAGATGCCCTCAGTCCTGACATAACTCAATACAAAGCACATGACTATAGACTAATAGTTTTGAATGTAAATATGTATGTGGTTAGGAATTACGTATGTATTCATAGGTGAATCCCAGTGGAATACACAGGCATGCACACACAAGGAAGTACACACTCTTAGAATAGAGCCAGTCACTGGGGCATATATATGGGCACACGTGGCCATTTTGCCCCCCTCCCCCACACCTTCTTCAGACAGGCTCCCAGGAAAACCTGACTTGGTCTGAGTCTCAGAGGCAGGTTACACAGCGCCCCCTGCCTTGATACCCTGCCCTGCTATGTTCTCCAGGTTCAGCCCTGTGGGATGGAGAGAGGGGGCACGGGAGAAAGCTGAGCATCACTTCGGGGGCTCCCTCTCAATCTCGCGGGGACATCACCCCCATGTAGTGACCCCGCTGGGGCTGAGTGAGGCCGGGGAACCCAGGAATGGAGGTTGGGTGGGGTGCTGTGCCTGCACCCCTGCTTAGCGAGAGGCCCAGATCCAGGCCCCCCGCCCCCCGGCCCCCCGCCCTGGCTGCGCTGCAGCAGCGGACGGCAGCGGCGGCGGCCCGAAGCGAAGCCGAAGTCCCCCCTGCCGTCCCCCCATCTCTCCTTCACTCACTCAAGCACCAAATGGCAAAGCTTCTCTCTCTCTCCCCAAGCAGGGGAGAGAGATGCAGCCCCAGCCGTGAAGCAGAGGCTAGAGTCCCTGGATGCTCCAGCCCGCGGAAGGCGCGCCTTCCCTCCCCCTCCCCTGGCATCATGGACAGGGGAGACAGGGTGTGCAGTATGTGTGCGTGTGGGGGGACACAGCTCTCCAGGGCAGCAGCCGCCGCCTCCTCCCTCCCTCCCTCCCTCGGCTCTAGGGTCCCCGGGCAGCTGAGAGCCGGGAGCAGGGCTAGGCATGCGCAGTATGTCCTCCCAGCCAGTGAAGGTCAGCCTAGGGCCTAGCTGCAGGACTCAAAGGCAGTAGAGGGAGGGAGAAAGAGAGAGAGGAGGATGAGGAGGAAGAAGAAGAAGAAGAAGAAGAGGAGGGATGCAGGGAGGAAAGCTTAACTCTTACCCTTCTGGGGAGGATGCTTCGTTTGGGGTGGAGTCTGGTGGCTCACTCCCTAAATTCCTTCTGATCCTTTCCCATTACAGGGGCTGTTAGCTTATGTCATTGGGGAGGGAAGGAATAGCAGAAAGGTAATAGACGAGAAAGATGGTGGGAAGGCAGATACAAGGTCGCAAGAAGGGAAAGAAAAAAGGAAGGGGGAAGGAAAATGGGAGGAAAGGAAGAAAAGAGGAAAAGGGGAAGAACCAAATAGGAGATTTCTTTCTCTTTCCATGCCCCTCCACCCTAATTCCCTAGGAATGAGGCTTTCTTGGAAAACAAAATGACTGACAGGTAGGCTCGAAGGTAAATTGAGACAGTGAAGGAGAAACAGAAGAAAGTGAAGCCCTTGGAGCTACCAAAATG